TGATCACTAAGATTGAATTAAATACCAAATTTGTCGTTTAACTACTTGAAGTACCTGCAAAACTGTACATCATAATGCAAACAATTCGTTACGTATCCAAATCAAGCGACGCCGTTATCACTGTCATCACATACAAAAGTTTCTAGATTGTTTGAGATCAACACCCTTCCTGATCGGTCCAAAACCACTTAAAAATACGGAAAAGCTGTGGAAAAGTTCTTAGAAATGCCTTTCTCATCTCAGATGTTCACATTCTCGGGTTCTAAATGCATTTAGGGTTAGAAAAAACATCCTGATTGTGCATATTTCCACGAGACGCGAAAATCAGACAATCGTGGACAAAAGTCCTGGGGACACTCATGTAATGTAACGGATTATCTGTGTTTTAGAACTGAAGTATGGAGAAAACGCTGCTATATCCTTCATAAACGGATTGCTGTCCCCCCAGTCCCCTCCAACACAATGTTGAAAATCAGCTGAAATTGCACGTACTAATGTTCAACATTGTATGGGGGGTGGGGGCAAGGTTAGGCAGGTGAAGTTGTATTCAAGCCTGGCGTGTACGCAAAAGCGCCAAAAGTGCAAATTTGTCCCAAGACTTTTGTCCATGATTGTAGCTTGAACCCACGATCCAATCGAAAAACCCGTACCTGGTCAGCCGTCAATTTCAAAAAAACATGCAACCTTGATAAGTTCTTGACCTGAGCCTGCGATATGGTCATGTTATACTGGTCGGCAGATACCTTGTTTTGACAGCTACCAATTGATCATAACATGGATGTCTAATATCAAAAATGTACCAATGGTAATGGTGCCACTCTCTTATTTCTCAAGGTATGGGGCTTGGTGTACGTACGAACATTCACGTGACATCCAAAATTTTTTAGATTGATGGGTTACCAAATTTTCTAAGGTATGGGGCTTCGCTCGCAAGAGTTCAGCCATCAAATGTCTTTTTAAGATCAATAAAAAGAATGACACTTGCTGAACCACTGCTGGATACTAGCTATCCATGGTATCAAGATTTTTAATCTTAGTTAGCTTACCGCATAGGTTTTTGTCCTTTTTATTGTACTTTAGATTTTAATGTATTTGAAAGGTTTAACATTTATTTTCTCAGAGGACCCTCCTGAAAACCACCTTATGGTGATTGGTGGCCTCCTGTTAAAATATTTAACAATTAGACCCGTAGCCCTCAAGGGCCACGGGTCAATAGCCCATTCTGCTTTGCCTCATGGGCTATTGACCCATAGCCCTTGCGGGCTACAGGTCTAATTGTTTTAGTATCACCCAACTAGTCGGACAGAAAAGGTAATAATAAAGTTAGCAAATGCAAGTTGAAGAAATATTTATTTGGGAATAAAANTACTTGATGACTATTACTAATAGTCCCCTAGTAGCGTAGCCAATCAAAATGCAGGATTTGCATTAGTCCACTAGTTGGGTGATACTAATATGTATTATTAATATTACTACTATTATTACTACTATTACTACTAATATTATTATTATTATTATTATTATTGTTATAAGAGCAGTCCGGGTAGAGTGGAGAGGTTTAAAACCAGACTGTAATTTAGTAAGAAGATCATTATCACTAAGAGACTGTGTACATGCCCACAAGCAGTACCGCAAGACATTTTCACTGTGACAAAAGTGTTTCACGGGTTTCTACGAGTATGGGGCTCTGCTTGGCAGCCCTTCAGACTGCCGGAACTCTGCTGTGACACAGTGTGTTGCATGAGGCCTTACCTTGTTTGGGTTGCAGGCTGACGTAGTGGACCTCGTGAACATGCCCCAGCACAAGAGGGTTGGTGCTGATCACGTGACCATCAGGCCTGATAGTAGCGTCAGGGTGATTTGACTGACTGCTGATCACGTGAATGTACGTTTTATAGTAGTTTGCAGTCGCATACAGAATCACATGATCACCCCACGTGCCATCTTGCTCCATGTTTGTAAGATAATCAGCCCATGACTGATATCCATTGATGAAGTTAAACAGATCTGTTCCATCAGGCTGTAAGAAGAGAGAATAAAACGACTAACTTTTAACAAGGTCAGTACACATGGATTCTATCAAGTGTGATGACAGAAAAATCCCTCTGAGTCTCTAAAGTTAAATGGACAATGGACAACCAATTAATGTTAAAATCTTTTTCACAGCAATTAAATAACTAATCCCTGTACATGGTAATGCATAATTTTCTGTCATCTTATTTCAAGTCCAATTCCAATGCTGACACAAATGCTGAAGTCTGATCATGTGGAACACATTTTTCCTAAGCCACATGATAAGATTTTCTTATTAACCAGAACAATGAAATAAAATACTAAACTTACCAGTTTTGGGTTCTTTCTGAGGTACTGCACTATGAATTGTCTTAATTCTCCATGTGGGATCTTGATTCCTTTCACAAGGTTCAGCTGTTCAGACAATGCATAAAACATGCAGTTTCCTGACCCTTCATTGTCAGAAATCACAAAGCCTTTCTCTGACGCAATCTTCTCCAACTCTGCCAACAGGTCAGTATTACCGCACACCTTGCTTACATCGCATTGCATTTGCTGAATATTCATGAACATTTGTCCAGGCAGATCTAAAAGGAAAACAATATATAAATTAAGGTAATGCACAGTTACTCACTCAAGCCTTTGGTGTGGAGGGATAGTGCCATCTGTTACTTCAAATCCTATTCAAGACTAAAATAACTCATTTTTACACCCTTTTGACCTGTTTGTTTCCATTGACAGAGTAGGAAAAATTATGGCACCTCCCACACACCCATCTAGCTCATTTCTGGGAGTAACCCCTCCCCCTGTTCCATTCCATTATAATGATGACATTCCAGAAAATATTGCTACATCCTAGTGTTGGAAAAATTATGGCAGTGTGTAAGTCTCACACACATGGCCCCACGAGGAAAGATTATACAGTAATCAATTACCAATGTACAATATACTGTAAAGCAACATGGCAAAATCTGACCAACTTTCAAACCAAAAAAGCCCAAAAAATCAAACCCAACAGAGTAACTCTCAATGCTGTATCAGATTTCCATGGATTACCTTGTGCTGGTGCATCTTGTGAACTAGCAACTGTGGTAAATGGAATCAGATCCTACAAGAGAACCACACCTACAATTAAAGCTGGACTCCAGATCAAGCAGTCGGGGTTTGAGGCCAGGCAGGGTCACTGTGTTGGGAGACACACTTTGCTCTCACAGTGCCTCTCTCCACCAAAGTGTGTATTTAAAATGGGTACCAGCAAATTTATGCTGTGGGTATACCTGTAATCCACTAGCATCCTCCAAGGGGAAGTAAAAATACACCTACCGGAATTTAGAATGAATCTGCCAGAATGACACTCTTAGCCCGACAGAGACTTTTTGAAATAAGACACAACAGGTAACAATAAGCAAACAATGGAACCGTCCTGCTTTAGCTTGTTAATGATTGTTTTCAACATTAATCTGTCAATATTCTTTTATGTTTTTTTAGGGGTAAGTAGCCAAACAGGTCTTTATCAAATCATTTCTCCAGAGATATAATTTAAGTTGCAACATATATGGCATTGTAGTAGAAAACTACCAGCAAAATAACTCCGAGAGGGTGGGGGGGNGTGTGGAGGGAGTATTACTCAAAATGGGGGCAGTAGTCAAGGAGGTCCATTATCCTTTGAGCAGCAATAAACATTTTTCACAGAAATGATGACCCTTTCAGATACCCTCCATACAACAAGGTACCCGGGGAGGGAGGGGAATAATACTAAAAAAAGTTTTATAATGGGAGATGCTATCCAAAAAACTGGTGCTCCTTTCACATAATACAGTTGGCAAAGGAAAGGTAACCTACACAGGTACAAATCCTACAGGACCCCACAGGAGATCATGCAAGATCCTAAAGGAAGGTTTTTTTACTCCAGCCTCCTAACTAAAACACCATTACTAGTTAGCATCCTGGCTAACAAATCCTATAAAATCTCACAGGATCCTACCAGATCATGTAGGATCCTGTGCATAGGATGTAATCAGTGGTATTCTCAAACTTGTGAAATTACTACCTTCTCTCAAGTAGAGCTCCATATATATGGTCCATCACATTGGCAGTCCTCACCCTCCCTACCCCACTCATGTGAAAAAAGGATGACCACTTCTTTTAAAGTTTGCATGATTTCAATAAGTTTAAGCATGAAATAAATCACATACCTGGCTTGTTCTCTTCAAGAACCATTTCTCCAGTCCATGGACAGTGAGCACTTCATCCCAGACCTCCTCCATACAAATCAGTGGTTGACCCTGTTTTACTTCAAGAAAGTGGAAGCAACCCTCATCATCACATGACACTCTTCCATGGTTAGAACACTCTTGACCAGCCCTGTCTCTCCCTTGATGACAGTATGGGCAGGCTACACACAACTTACACTGCATTCCGCTCAGGCATGGCAGCTCCAATGACAAGGTTTGCAAAGTTCCTTCTACTAACTCACGCACTTGTGTAGCTATGTGTAGTTCTTCTGACATCTCAGCTGACACTTCCAGTTTTATCTTCTTGTGTGCATTAACCGGATGTCTTTCTTTTCTTTGTTTTAGGACGATCTTGATGAAACTCTTCTTGCAAATGACAATTAAATCATGGATTTGTTTCCCAATAACAAACCATGCTCCATTTTGGTACAGCTTGGGATGCTGCAAGGGCCATGTCTTACAACACCAACAAATAAATCGTGACACAAGCTGTGAGAACAGACCATGAGGGACAAAGCCATGTACAAAATGAATATACAAAGGACAAGGATCAGTGTGAGATGGTGCCACTTGACAAAGGTCTTTAGGCGGTGTCTTCAGTTGAGCTGGTACAAAATACTTTACATCACTTGGAGACGGTGAGAACTTGGCGATCAATCCAAACTGCTCCATCATGTCCAAGATGTCATCTTTGATAATGCCTTGTTGAATAAACTTGGAAAAGACATCATCAATGAGTTCCATGCAGAGGATGCCATTTTTCTCCAGTTCTTTCCAGTACTTGGTGTGGACAGGATCCTAGAAAAAAACAGAATGATATTTAGGCATACAGTTATAAGTACACATAGAGCTACCAGGCTACTTTAACCATACACGAGGCTACAAGGAGGCTTGCATTTTACTTTAACCATGCACGAGGCTACATTTTTGACAATGGCATACTTGCAAGTACAGTGGCTACCTCAAATGGTTGGGGACTGGGTTTTTGTGTCAAAAATAGCTGCTGTAAAAATACAAGTATTGAAACATACATTCATTTTAAATAACTGACTCATGTAGCAGCATTCCTCAAGTATCTCAGAGGTATTGCATCATGTAAAATCATGCATCATCATTCTCTGAAGTGTTGGCCAAACTAACAGATAGATGAGCTATTCAGATATTTAACAAAGGTACTTTAAAACATTTAAGGTGAACATCAGACAAAGGTAAAGCAATTTAATTTTATTACCATTTTATCAAAGTGTGGAATGGTTATCAGCTGTTTCAACAGGTCAATCAGCCACTGAGCCTTCAGAACAACTGTATTGCGATGCTTGACAATCATACCAAGGCCATGGTAGAAACTGATCATACCATCAAGCTCATCTGCATCTTCTATAAAGCACTGGCTTTTGGCAAAGTTTTGGAGTTGCACCAGATTTATGTGAAATATCTGTTTGGCAATCAAGGCTTCAATCACCTTTTCAAACAGAAACCATCTAAAAGACAAACATGGAAAATGCATCACATTTCATGACAACGCATTATTTCTACTATTTACTATAAAGATTGCCATACCGTGCCATTATTACCTGCACTTTTCGAGCACATTATTTTAGGACAAAAAAACCGTCTTTCTAGGACCCCTAAAGTCCTCTAAAAATATGCTCAGAAAGTCCATTCTGATTGGTTTATTTGTCCTCAACAACAATAGAACAATAGGAGAACCAAAAAGTCTTCAGGGAGGGTAGGAAAGGCAATTGTCCTCACGCGCTTTTTTTTATGGCTGGTTACGGCTGGCACAGACATTTGGGGGGTGGTTTTTGCATGGCCGGTTACAGCCGGCACAGGCCTCAATGGGTAAAAGGGTATTGTTTCTAATTGTTGTTGAGTTGTTGTTGCTCCAGCGCAATATCATGTAAAGCCTCGCTTTTAAGAGTTACAATTCCATGCTGAATACTTTGCCTAGAAAACCAATCAGGGTGTGAGAATTCTCTGAGCTATGTGATTGTAGCTAAAATCCATGCCCTGGATATCAGCTTTACAATATATCCTATCCTAATTCCTCCCAGTTTTGAATTTTGGGGCATACCTGACAAACCCAACTGAGTGTAGGCAATAGCATTTGTTTGTAGAAAATAATTTACCTGACTGGTATCTTCTGCCCCATATATGGCTCCTGTCTCAACACCTCCATGATTTTGTTCTGCAGTTCTTGAATGTCATCTGTGTTCCCATTTAGCTCTGAAAATAAATGCACTGCATTTTGACACTTACAGTACTATGTTTATACACAAAATAGAGATATATTATTTTACAGTGTACATATAGGTCCTACAAATGAAAAGGTTGAAATCCGATCTGGTCTGAGTTTTCAAGACACTTAAATCTGGTCTCATGCTAGAACTGCAAAGTTATGAGAACAAGCAAGTAAAGATCAACGGCTAACAATAATGAGAGAAAAAGCAATAATCAAAGTGGGTGTGAGCCACTGACCTTGGAAAATAAATTTTGAAAGGGTGTTATGAGGCATTCCTCATTAAGGAACTACTTGTGATGTGAAGGCAGTCTACCTTTCGAACAAGCTCATAACCCCTGC